ATAATTCTGCGAAATATTTCATTATCACTACAATAACCGACGATAGCTAATAACTGACACGTGATACAATACGATGGAAGATCATAATGCAATACCGGCATATGGATTTTGTAAGAATATTCTTTTTTCATTGAACATGCGAACATGGTGACGGGACCAATTTCTGACGTAATGTTTTCAAAATAAACAGAAGTAATATTGAATACAAGGCCGCGCCATAGCTCATGCTGTTAGTCGCTGGCTTCCCACCGCGGCGGCCCGGGTTCGATCCCGGGGTCTGGTCAAGTGGGATATTTGGTGGAAAAAGTTGCGCTGGGCGGGTTTTCTCCAAGTACTTCGCTTTCCCCTCCCAATCTTCATTCCACTAAATTCTCCATCATCATAATCACCCAGGGCAAGCTACAGTAGGCCAATCAGTGGCCGCCGTGCCGAGTGGACCCAGTTGGACTCCACCCCCCACTAAGCGATTTTTTTTTTTTTAATATTGAATACAGGGCTTTAATAATCCAGCTTACAAGATAGGAACTATCCTTTAGTTCTTGCATGGGATTAGTGGCACTGGAGAAAGGACTAATGCAAAGAGTGTGAAATACGCTCTCAAGGTAACTGCGGGTAAACACTATCAGGCGCTGTGGTCGTGATGACTAATGCGCCTTCTTTCGAACTCCGCTGAAAGCAGCTGTTCCCAAGTTTCATTTTTCGGCATACCTCGTCCACATACCATTCATCTACTGTTACAAAGAGCATAGTCATTTAATATGAACTGTTGTACAATCCGAGACAAATTTCCGCAAAGAAGTTCCAGCGAGGTAACAATGACTTGCTGTGGTAGACAGCAGATGTGAAGGTTGGTGCGATTATTGTTATTATCATCATAATCATTTGACCGAAGAAATGTTAGTATAAACAATAGATTTACCGAACAGGTTGGAGTACCGGTAACGCCCAGTTCAGATGTCATGATTTTCATCAGTTCCACAAGTAAATTACGGGAAAATAGCTAGCTTAAGAAATGACCGCGTCCTTCCAAACCCTTTACAGTTCACAGAATTCCTGGGTTTTTTGGACTTTTTTCCATCATCGGAATTGTAGGAAATAGAAAACACAACGTTTCTGAAACAGATCCAGTTTCCGATACGTCGTGTTTTCTATTTCCTAAAATTCCGGACGATGGAAAAAGTTAAAAACCAAGTAATTCTGTTTGTTATGCACCATCGTCAGACCCCTTTAGAATCTACTTCTTTACACTTCACCAATCATATTGATATTAAACGTATATACTTTGAGATACTAACAGTGTCATCGCCGCGCCATAGCTCAAGCAGTTACGTCGCCGCTTTCACACCGCGGCGACCCGTGTTCGAGCCCAGGTCTGGTTATGTAGGATTTGTGGTGAACAAAGTGCACTGGGTCAGGTTTTACTCTGAGTACCTTAGTTTCTCCTGCCAGTTCTCATTCCACCGACTGCTTTACTCATCATCTATCATCCGGGGCTGGTACAATAGGCCAATTAGTTGCCGACGTACCAAGTGGACTCAGTCTCACCCCCACCACAAGAAACTACAAAAATACTAACGGTGTCGTAAAATGAGCCACAAAAAACAACACAGTTATATAATAACACATTACTGACTGGTCTCAGGGCCGAATGGGTGAAAGTTGAAGATGTATGTTCTACCAAATTAAAACTGTCTTCCATACCTTTAGAAATATATCACGGATTACATAAAGCCGCTCGAAGCTCTCAGTACCGACACAATATGGCGTCGGCAGAAATCTGTCGCCGGTGATTTGTTTATATTTCCTGTCAACACTTCTCTCCAACCAGATGCTTCACACGTCATACCGGTACCACTATATTTCATTATCAGTGACTCACAAACATACAGTCAGTTGTCCAACCTTCAGCGTGTGGTGAAAACTCCCCGTATAAGGTTCTCGACCCGAAATTTAGCAACAATTACAGTTCAAGTTTTTAACGTGGTACAACAAAATTCTCTCCAAATTATTTATAACTTTCAGACTATTTTTCTGCTTAAAATTGTCACAAGTTTGCTAAGAATAGGTTACGTGTTACAATTAACAGACGCGGTCCGCAGAAGGAATTGTGAAAGGCAGGCAACACCCACCCTCTTCAAATTACTTATAAGTAAAAAGAGCTAAATTTGTCCCTGTGCTTAACTAATTAGGAACTACACCATGAAGACGTATGGGGGAGTGGATGCATAGATCCACATTTTCTTGGCCTCGGTATTAGTTGAAGGTGAGTGGTCAGCTTCACACCCCGGCCGCTTTACAACCGAGGAAAAAGCCCCTGGTACTCATTAAATAGGAGGTTGGGTAGACCCCAGAGCTGGTCTGGAAAATTCTTGACCCTACCGGGACTTTAACAGTTGTCCAGCCCGTAGCTAGACGCTATACCGACTTAAAACAATATAAAATAAACTGAATAATTAAAACCACGCTGAAATCTTCCCTTACAATCAATAGACATATTCATATGCAATTAATCGTTACCGCATGATATGTATTCATATTGTCGAGAGGTCGAAAGTGAATGCTGAATGAGTAAATGAATAATATGGGACTTCACTGTTCAGTTCTTACACACAACAGAAGAAAGTTGAATATATGAACTGTTCAATACAAGCTTTAAACTGATATTGTAATGGCACACTACACTAAAAGAGCAAATCAAATCTGAACTGAACGGGATCTGAATCAGTCAGGATTTTATTTTGATTTTTTGCATCTTTCTTTAGTTTCGATCTTTTGTTCAAGCAGCTAAAGCGTTTTTTTTTTCGCTTGTACAATGACTTATTGTGATCAGGAATAAAAGACTTGCGACAGCGCTGTCGATAATATTTTAATTAAATATACGACATTGTTTATATACATATATCTATATAACTGTAAATCTATGTAGGAGAGAAGTTCGTTTAATTATTATGAGACCAAGAGGCTGCGGTAACCTTTACCTTCGATGTGTTTCGGGGACCCACTGTTGCGCATAGTGGCGTCTCTTTTGTTGAATTTGGTGAGGCTTACGGAAAGGGTGTGATAATATAAAATGTAGAATGTCTTCTGGGATGTGGCGCCGTGTAGATATTATGTAAACCGACGCTTCGGAGGAGCGTATCGCCTCCATCTTCAGGGGATAAAAATCCGCAAGCGAGAAACCAGCTTGAAACGTTGGTTTACACTATCTACACGGTGCCACATCCCAGAAGACGGCATTCTGCATAGTTACCTCCGTGAAAACATCAAATCTTACGTATCGCCTCCATCTTCAGGGTATAAAAGTCCGCAAGCGAGAAACCAGCTTGAAACGTTGGTTTACACTATCTACACGGTGCCACATCCCAGAAGACGGCATTCTGCATAGTTACCTCCGTGAAAACATCAAATCTTACGTAATATAAAATGTGTTTCATTTTTCTATACAACTTCTGTTAGAAAACATTTTTTCGCTCCGAAAAAATATTTAATGTTCTGTACTTGAGAAACATGTATCAACGCATGTAAGCGGATCTTCATCTAAAGTGTCCTCTTGTAATAAATGCTGGGCCGTATGGAAAAATCATATTAAAGGCCCCCCTGAACAGGAATTTTAATGAAAATTACTCTAGCATTTGTAGAATTCTTTAATTCGTAAAAACGATGTAGACTTACGAAGACACTTGAACTCTAGGCATGTAAGATCACAATGCTGTGTGTATATTCATATGATTTGTTTTAATTAAATTTGGTATGAACGCCAGTAACAAGAACACCGCGAACGTCCGAACTTGTAACGCGGAAGCTCCAGTAGCGGTACAGAATTTATAGTCCCTAAATGACTAGGTAATAGATCTTGAAAAAATATGCAAATTTATTGATGCAGTATTTTCGTAAAATATAAACTGACATGGCTGCCGTGAGGAAAATTTCTCTAGTTTCGGATTTGATGGCGATAACTAGTGAAACACTGGAGTTAGGCATGTCGAAACTGGTATGAAGATAGTTTATAATGAAATATTAAATACTGTTTATAAGCCAAATACTACAAACATGGCGACGTGGCGACACTTCGTGTATATATCCGGCAAATATAACACGTACAGAAAGTTCACGTAAGAGATAAGTTCTTCACAGACATGAAATTATGTTCCGAACTTCTTATTGAGGAGTATCGCCTTCTGGTATGTAACGCCACGTACTGTGGTGTTAGTCCACCGAGTGAACGTACTACCTTCATCTTTAGGGCCCAAGAGTAAGCCAAAGAGGACACCACCAAGAAACAGACTGTAGCCAGAGCTGGTTCTCCCGTGATTTACTCCCAGAACTTACAGATGCTCCCTCTGAAACACGGGTGGTCTTCTACTGGACTACAGGGCATTACAACCCTGAAGATTCTTTCACTCATCGCTGTAAGAACCTCAGTTCCTTACTATTGTGCTTCCTTGGTGTTGAGGTTAGGATTTTTATTGTGATAAACCAATGTAAACAACTATAAAGTGTACCTGTTGCTAATTTCAGTGCAAGGACATCATGGGCGATCTTCCTGCCGTATTCTTAAGGTGTTCCACACCCTTAATATAATTACACATATAATATTTTATATCCTGAATTTCGAAATCATATGAGGGGAATTCCATTGTTTTTCAAATTAAATTATATTCTTGATACCACGGTAGATGACCATTTGGTTACTTTATGAAGCTCAATCAACTGCTTAGTCTATGTGGTGTCGAACAGGCATAAACTGATAATGGGGAAACAGCCTTCTCTATCGTAATGTACTATTCGCCTGAAACTGAGGAAAATAATAACAAAATCATAAGACGAATGACCGGTTTGCGGCCAGTATTCGAACCGGATACTTCCAAATGCGAATCAGCTCGGCCGATAACATTCTAGGCTAAAACTCGAAATCATGGTAAGATTTCTTTCAATTTGTTTTTCAGTAAGGATAGCAATAAGCCAACTTGTAACACATGTTTACACTGCATTGTACTTACGTGGAAAACATTCGACAAGAAGAGCCGCCGACAGTATCAGGAATATTGCACAACTGATGCTCCTCATTCTGCCTACAGCCACCAGCACTTCTATTCGAAGAATGCCAGTTGCTGTACTAGCGCTCAATATAAACCTTGGATCCTTCACAACTCCTTCCCAAGCGGCCGCCACTACCACTGCGTCACTAACCAATCATAGACTACAGAACTTACCAGCGTCACGTGGACTAAACCAATGGAACAATGAAGCATGCCAGTGGCTAAAAAAAAAAAACATCGTAACTTTTCTCGGAAGTTTTGTTTTCTGATCTTATGGCTATGACTAAAATAATTACCATATTAATGCAATTGTCACGTGACTATTTCACGATTGAAGTTGCTTTGTTATTATTGGCTGAGGTAAGCAGAATCAAGATGACGTTATGGCCGTCATACGTTTAAGTTTAGCGTTGCGGTTTTCTGTCCTTATAGGGTTCAGACATACAAGTTCCATCCTACCCAACACACTGCATTGTGTACGTGTCTGTTCATGATGTACAGTGCCAGGAGTAAAACGAATTATGCAACACCGATATCATTTTATTTCACTCTGTACGGGGTCATCATGAATAAACGATTCGATCCAAGCAAGTTGGCTCAAGTGGTAAGGATTTTCTAACCTGTAATCGAAGCTGGATCGGGACAACGCTTATGATGACTGCGGCTCATCGTAGTTTTCCACAGTCACCCCAGGCAAATTCCACGATAATACGTTAAATTAGCAGAATACGATACTAAAACGGCGAGCCAATGCAGCAAATACTAGAAGAAATTTGACGAAGCCTGTGCGTGGTCTAGTGCAGTAACAAACACAAAGCTATTCGCAGCTTATAATACTTTGAAAGATTATTTTAAATATCAAATTGTGGCTTTAAATTATTTTAACCTATTGTTATGTATACGACTGTATCAGATGTACCATATTTAGGTTGAGTTTTATTCTTGTTTTATTGAATTTCATTGTTAATTTTAACCTATGTCTAGTCTAAGCTTTGTCTAGATTGTGAATTGAATAAAACTAATATGTACTAACCATTTAGAAAAAAATGGGAATGTCAGCGTTTCAGTTCAGTAAGAGTATGTGAAATCTTGCAGCACCTGAAGATAACCCATTGAGGTCAAAACATGTAGTTCGTGCTATATAAATAAATAAATATTAAAGTATTGTTGCGTTGACTGTAACAATTATATGTATATATTCATTATATACGCTAAATTAGTCTATGACTCTTTTTCTTCCAGTACAATACTCATTGCCATTAAATTCTTCGATTCTATATAATATGCATCACTGACAGTCGTTAAATAAACTAAAAGAAATATACGGTTCAGCTTTGAACTATTTTTATAAATACCCTCAGTAGAACTCTGTACTTGCCAAAAATACGATAAAATATGGGAGTAAGATTTGAAGTTTTCACGGCAGTGACTATGAAGAATGCCGTCTTCTGGGATGTGGCGCCGTGTAGATCTTGTGTGAACCGACGTTTCGGAGGAACGTAGACTCAGCCTGCAGCCACCTGCTCAAGCTGGTTCCTCTCTCGTGGATTATTATACCCTGAAGATGGAGGCAATACGTTCATCCGAAATGTCGGTTCACACAAGATCTATAGGTGCCACATCCCAAAAGACGGCATTCTTCAAAATATGGCAGTCTTTCTACAGGAAAATGTTTCCAGCGTGGAAGCATCAGTTTCCCTTATCTGCAAACGAAGAACGAGACGCTGACTGCTTCAGGAAATGTGTTATTTGCTCCGTGGACGATCCCTACACAGGCTCTCTAGCGTGTCAGTAATTCTTGAGAATACTGTAATGTCATCCGCAACCGAAAATGACCTCGTCAACTCACATTTCCTTTATGATGCATTACTATTCGAACGTCTTAACTAGCCGACTGAGTATTGTATTTCACGTGAGAAAAACTTATGTATATTTCTGAGTTTGTATTTATACTTCTAAAAGCGTATCGCTTATTTTAAGACCTCCATTGTTCACACTTTCTCATGTCCCATGTCTGTCTTCCCGCCATAGTGTGGAGGCAATATGCTACAAGTTCGATTCCCGATGAAGTTATTGGATTTTTCAATTAACGTAATACTTCCAGCCGCATCATGACCCTGGGGTCGACTCAACTTCTTAACAGAAATGAGTGCCAGGAACCTTCCTGATGGTAAAGGACGACAAGCGTCTAAGCCTGACAACTTCACCGCTAACTGAGCCAATTGTCTAGAAAATGCGGAAGCCTCAACCTCACATAACCGTATGGGCCTATTGCAGGGATAGATTTGCCTTTTGTTACCTTAATGTGCTTAAGCCAACAACTAGGAATATTGTGACGAAGCGAGACTTTGAGATTATCCGACAGAGTTCACGTATCCAACAGTGATTCCTAACCTGGGGTCCCCGAACCCCTGAATAACCGCGAAGCTAGTGGTGGTGGTCAATATTTAAAAAATGGAACAGAAATCATAACTACTTATCTTATTGTCCTTTCTCGCCACATGATGGTATAACCATTGGAAATTTACCTGTCTTATTTTTCTCGCCTGTTAATTTTTCTTGGAATTATTATTAATTTATTGCCCTTATATAGACTGTCATGTTTTGTTTCTTGTATTTTGTTCTTTAGTTATTTTTGTACTATATTTCTATGTACTCCTGCTAACTTTGTATTCGGCTTGTGTGCTGTTAAGTTTACACGTAAATAAACACGAATTGAATTAAATTGAATTGAAAAAAAAAATCTCGTTTTCTGAGAGGTAGGCTTAGTATTGTTGGTGACACAATTTCACATGTTTACAAACATTATTGACAGCGTATTACAAAGAAACGCTTATCTCTGTGATTACATCAATTCTCTGTCAGCATTTCTGACTGGCTGTTGAAGATATCGCACATATATATTTTTTTAAAAGACCACTAAACGCGATGGTCATATCACCCGAATCAAACACGTCCTGTCAGTGGTCGATCTTGAAGTGAGCCGTAACTTTTTAAGACCAGAGTGACAGAAGAATTAAGGTAGTGGTACCAGTGCCTAAGTGTCAGTGGGCTTGCGGTTGTTTAACTTCGCTGCGTGTCTGAATCACACGCCATACTCATCTGTAATTAATGTCGCTTCATATAAACCCCTGATAAGCATGGCTCATTGTTTCGAACTACAGTGTTAAATTTCTTCTAGGGGTGAATATTTGTTCTTAAAAATATTTATATTTGGAGCTACTACAACCATATGGGCCTCCACGGCCTGTTACAGGGATACCTTTACTTACTTACTTACTTGCTACTAAGTAAATAAAATTGTTCTTCAGAAACAACAGTTCTGTATTCTGATGTCCTGTTTGCACACACATATGTACCCGATAATTTAATATTTCATATTAATTATAAGAAAATTCGCATTTCCTGAACAAGGATCAATATTCAACACTCAAAATTTTGTTGGGTCGCAAACCAAGAAATTAAGTTTATGTTTTATAGAAATAAATATTGTGTTGCGTTTTCGGCCGATAAAAGATAAGTATCTTACTATTGCAACCATGGAAAACTCCGGTAGTTATATTTACGACATACAGTTTTACTTTATGGACGACAGAATGTTAATTACAAGCTTAGCCAGGGACGGAATGAGACATTTTTATGTCTCTGACGAGATGAAAGACCTTCGCGCCCCCTCTGCCGAAAAGAAAGCTATGCCATGTCATAAATTCTTGCGACATATAAACGTTTCTTTTGGTCTCTAGTCGGAGTATAAATTAAAATTAAATCGATCATTTATATGTGGCTGATTTTTTGTGCGTTATTCCCCATAAAATCATTAATTTTTGTATAATAACACATAAGACACCATTCATCATGACGTAAATATACTACAGTAATATATTTTATAACAAATTGATCCACAACGGACTTGAACAGAAATATTCAGTAAGTCCAGATATCTGTTTATAAAAACTGCAGTCATCCTAATGGAATTCGTAGGACGTTCCGTACCGATATAATGGAGTCATCTCCCGACTGAGCGCTGAATCTTCTTGTCATCTACCTGTCGGGGTATTTGCCCCGCTCGACCTGTCGTATAAAGTACCGTCGCAGATCTTGGCAGCGAAGAATTCTACTGCAGTCTGCAGCAGTAAACGGGAGTCTTGTACGAGTATAATTCGTACATTCGTAACCTTAATAAGATCATACTGTTAAAACGTCACAGGAGAATTTGATTTGTTTCATTCTGGTCCGTGACACTAACAATATTATAAAAGATAAAACAACTCCGTCCAGTGTGACTGTTGAAGTTTTTACTACTTCAATTCTTAACACCCTTACATGTTTCGGTCCCTATAGACCATCATCAGAGGGACATCAATACTCTTAGGAAACCACTACACCCATTGCAATAGTGCTTTCGGAAGATTTTCAATGTCCCTCTGATGATGGTCTATAGGGACCGAAACATGTAAGGGTGTTAAGAATTGAAGTAGTAAAAACTTCAACAGTCACACTGGACCGAGTTGTTTCATCTTTTATAACATCACAGGAGAGTTCTACAGCGTTACTGATGTAAGAGTTTCAGAATAGTCTGGGATAGGATGAACACAGTATTTTAGACAAAAGATGAAACTTTTGTGTCAAGAGACGTAGAAATAGATACACCAATATCATAACATCGAGCAGGTTGGTTCAGGGTTGATCTCTAAGCTTGTAATCAAGAGACAGTCAGTTGAACTTTCAACGGGATTACCAGCTATCGTGAACTGACCATTTTCATGGTTTTCCTCATTATGTACAAGTGAAGAAATTCTCCTTCATCAAAATCATTATCATCTTCTTCGTCATATCTTCCGATCTCATCAGATGCTATGTAATATCTGCAGTTGAAACGTCGTCGTTATATATAACCTTAGACTCTCAGAAATTATAAGGAGCCGTCAGTTAACTTCTTCGGTCAATTTGATCCCATTAGAAAATCCCGCTTAGTGAGTGAGAGGTTTCTCAGAACAGGAGCTATTTGGAACCCAATGCAGAGAATACAACCAAGTCATTTACCTTACTACATTTATACAAGTTGTGGTGAAGTTTCGGGGTTTTCTAATTCTGTTTCTTAATTGTTTTGAGCGTTACGATCTAAATAAATATTTCGTCGGTG